AAAAAAAAAAAAACTACAATGGCTTATGCATAAGCGAACCTCTAAGACACTTTGCTAGAAGGATTTCAGGATCAAATTTTGCACATCTTTGAATCGAAAAAGAAGTATTTTAAGTTCTCGAAGGCATGCATCTACTTTTCACCAAATAGATAACCTGTATCCATCATAGATGGTTCGAGCATTTTTTATAAAGGGACTATTTATTTTTTGTACATGGAGGTTATAATAATTATTGTTTCTTAAATTTTCAAAATTGGTGGTTATAAGAGTGTCATTGAATAGATATAAAATTCTAAAAAAAAAATTTGGATTTTGTGATTCACCTCAAACCATCTAATTTGATATCTAAAGAGTGAATAAAAATTCGTGAAAACTTGGGTCCAACAAAAAGTAGCACAAATACAAACCGGGTTAGCTTAAATGATCTTTTTCCTTAAAAGAATTTCTTAAGCATAATTGTTTACTTTCTGTAAAATATCCATAGTTTCTTGTATGCAGCTGGCATATTTGTGATAAAAGGACAATAGAGAAATGCATTTATTGTTCATTAACTGCCTAAAAACCAAAAAATATGGGACCAAATTTTATTAAAGAGAAATGGGCATCAGAAGCACCACTTTTTCATATAGAGAGATAGCTTTCTAATCCATCATCATCAGCGTCAAAACTTTTTCCCAACTAATTAAGATCGACTATAGTGCGCCCTCTACTCCATGACAATCAAATGATGCAAAGAATACATAATCCATTCCACAAGATCAAGTTAAAAGGAGAGAAGCAACTGCATTTATTAGAATATAGATATAAAAACAACAAATGTTTGAAGGGTGACTATTTGATCGATCCGGCATTTACACACGACTCTCTCATAACAAATAAGAAATACAAAAAGGGAAAAACTGTGTTTTCACCTGTATTTTCCATGGAAGTTTCACAAGTGCAACTCAGTTGGCTCTAAAGCCAGGTACCTCAGAAGAACTTCCGCCAACTCCAAGGTCAAGTACACTGAGAGCATCTCCACAGATATCACTAACCAAACCAACAGGTCTCTCTCTCTCAAGTTCTACAACAACATTTTCCACTTGACTATTTCTCTGTTTCTTTGTTGCTTTCTGGTGGTAGGGAGAGGTGGCGCAAAATATTTTCAACATGTGCAGCATCCACTCTGAGTTTCTCAGCAATTTGCTGAACACCCATTGATCCGCCATCTTTGCCTTGATGAAGGAAGAACACTTGCCGAAGTTGTGAGACATTAAGAGTGCCTGGAGCCACTACACTTTTCTCGTCTCTTCCTGCATCTGCCTTAGTGTCCCGAAGCTTCGGCAGTGGTCTCTTGTATTTCTCCACCACAAACGCCTAAGAACAAGTTAAAGCACAAAAACCTCATCATTAAGCTACAGTAAAACAGATAACAGATTAATTTATTTCTGAATTCAAGTTTTATGTGCCACATATAGCACACACAAAACCTCACACTTTGTGAACATATCCACGCACAAGTGCACAGAGAGAGAGAGAGAGAGAGAGAGAGAGAGAGAGAGAGAGGTAGTATGCTATGTACTTAGTCGACTAGCGACGACGGACACGTCGACTAGTAGTTAGTGTTAGTTACGTTACTATTACGTTCGTTAGGTATTAGTT